TTTTTGTAATCTAACCCATAAATATTTTGCAAACGGCTTACTCGCAAATTCTCGTAAATTAGAGGCTATCATTTGATACCAATTTCAAAGTTTTAGGACAACATGGGTGTGCTACGTGAACTTGGCCCACCCATTWATATTTTGCAAACTGCTTACTCGCAAATTCTGAAAGTGGACTCGAAAATTCTCGCAAATTAGAGGCTTTCGTTTGATACCAATTTCAAAGTTTTAGGACAACTTGAGTGGGCTCCTTGAATTTGTCCCACCCATTTTTATTTTGCTTGCTGCTCATAAACGGCTAACACGCAAATTCTAAAAGTGAACTCGCAAATTCTCACAAATAACTTGCAAGATACTGGTGAAGATTTTAAGTCACTACTCCAATGTGGGTGGGCCAACTTCACGTACGTATAATAAGGATATAAAATCCTTCCTTGGCTTATCAGGATATTAAAGAAGATTCATACCTAATTACGGGAAAATTGCGAAACCACTCATTTCATTATTAAAAAAGGATGTTGAATTTAAGTGGTCTGATTTATGTCAGAAAGCTTTTGAGGATTTAAAAAATGCCCTCACACATGAACCTCTGTTGCAATACCCCGATTTCAATAAACCATTCAACCTCACATGTGACGCCAGCAATTACGCAATAGGATGTGTGTTATCGCAAGGCCCACTTGGAAAAAACCTCCCAATCGCWTACGCATCACGAACATTGAACAAGGCTGAACAAAACTATACCACAACGGAAAAGGAATTTTGTGTTATCATTTGAGGAGTTAAACAATTTCGACCATATTTATTGGGTCAAGAATTCATCATTATCACAAATCACAGAGCGTTAACATGGCTTTCTAATGTCAAGGATCCTGGGTCACGATTAATCCGATGGAGACTTAAACTGGAGGAATATCAGTATCAAATTCAGTATAAGCCAGGATGTAACAATACAAACGCTGATGCATTAAGCAGAATCAGAGTCACAACTAGAGCACAAACATTGAGAAATGAACAAATTTCAGAGTCTCCAGGTAATACAGAACCTACAGAAATTTCAAAATCTTCAGATAATACAGAACCTACAGAAAGTTCAAAATTTTCAGATGGTACAGAATCTTCCACGAATTCAAAATTTTCAGATGCTACAGAATCTTCCACGAATTCAAAATCTTCAGACATTACAGACTCTTCAAATAAGACAGAATCGTATCAGACATTTTTAAACTCAGATGACTTACCTATATATCTAATGTTACTGAAGTGGTAGGTGACATTTTTAGTACGTCATCGGATACCTCACTGGCGCATTGTGTTTCCGAAGATCTCAAAATGTCTAGAGGCATCGCCCTCCCATTTAGACGACCATTTGGAAAAATACAACAATTACGTCAGCAAGAAAGATCAATTGATGGTTTGATATTTTTATGTGCAGAAGAACGAACGATTTTTTATTTAATAACGAAGTTACATAGTTGGCAAAAACCAACTTATCAATCTATATTCAACTGTTTACAAAGACTTAAGATACTTTGTGCAGAAAATCAAATCACTAAGATTGTTTGTCCTAGAATAGTATAGACTGCATGGACTCAAATGGAGRAAATCCGTATAATGCTTCGTTACATGTTCCAAAACACTTCAATTTATGTAAGTGTCTACTCCAAGGACGAATTAACCGAAAATGAAAAATTCAGATTAATATCCGAATTCCATGATACTCCTTTAGGATGTCATCAAGGAGTAACCATAACTTTTAACAGAATATACGCCCAATTGTCACTGGAAGGGAATGAGAAAACAAATCCGARATTTTATCAAGAGATGCCCAATATGCCAAAAAATAAAATAGGGAATAAACCATTGAAARAACCAATGGTGATCAAAACTACTTCTAGCCAACCCTTCGAGAAGATATTTTTGGACGTAGTGGGACCTCTTCCAAGATCCCATAAGGGGAATTCATTTATCCTGACACTACTAGATGACCTAAACAAAATTCGCATGGGCAGCTCCAATGGTAAACCATGAAGCAAATACGGTGTCACACCATTTTTTGACACARCTTGTATGCTTGCATGGTCTACCACAGAGTCTCGTAACCGATTGTGGTACAGGGTTTCTTAGCAAAGTCTTTAAGGAAGTATGCAACCTCCTAAAGATAAAGCAGACCTCAACAACCCCATACCATCCTCAGAGTAACGGTTCTCTAGAAAGAAGTCACCGTACTCTGGGTGAATATCTACGTAATTTTATTGACAAGGATCCATTAAATTGGGATACAAAACTTCCGTACGCAATGTTTTGCCACAATTCCACAACGCATTCAGCAACTAAATTCAACCTAACTAATTGGTTTACGGAAATCCAGTTACTATACCCTCATCTTTATTAAAAGAACCAGAACCTCGATATAATTATGAGGATTATCAGTTTGAAATCAAGAAACAATTGCAGGAATCACATGCAATAGCTAAGAAGCATTTGATTGAAGCTAAACCTAAATCAAAAGCCCAATATGACAAGAATGCTAATCACAGAAACTTTGAAGTGGGACAAAAAGTTTTACTACAAGATAAAACATCTATTAATAAGTTAACTCCAAAATGGCTAGGCCCTTTTGAAGTTTTGGAAATTGATCCTACCAGTAAAAACGTAATAATAAAAAAAAAAGGCAAGGAGGCAAAAGATTCATCCAAATCTATTGAAACCATTCTATGAATGATATTAATGATTATCCATCACTGTTTTACAGTAAAWTGAAAATGAACAATGGGTACCTGCTTGTCACCTTAATTCTCCTACAAACAAAGTAAACGGAATATCAGAATCTTCCACCCGCAGACGTAGCCACAATTACACATTTCAACAGCACGGAAAGACTTTATTATAAATTTTTAGGCAAACATAAAGCTACAGATTCCGACTGGAAGCTAATAAATTTCTTGGACCTAGGCTATTACACAACGAGATACCTAGCGTTATCCAGATTATATAACACTACATCTCAACTCTGTAGTGAAATTCGTCAGAAAATCGAAAATCCAGAAAATACGCATAGCTGCCGACAGTTTGCACAAGTAACTGTCCCATATTTTCACGAAATTGATCGAAATCACCAAAATATCTTATAAACTATAGGAAACAATGATCAACCTAAAGGTAGAACCCGTCGTGGACTTAGTAACGCCGTTAGTCGGATGGCCAACGTACTATTTGGTAGTGCTGAGAACATTGATTTTGGATTCTTCTTCAACAAAATAACTCAATTAGTGAGAATTAAAGTAAAAGATATCAATTTAACACCGGAGCAAACTCGAATCATCGAATTATCAACCAATGAACAAAATAGTAAATTAAACCAAATATTAACAAACCAGCAGAAACTTGAACAGAATATTCAGCTACTGAGCGAGCAAGTAAAGAGAAACATGAAGGACATTGATCAAATACAGATCAGAACAACATTTTTAGAACAGACTCTTTTCTTTGAAGTCTTATTGAATCAATACGCTTATGATACTCAAAATCTTTTAGCAATAGTGAATTCCGCCCTACATGGAAAATTACACACCAGTGTATTACACACCCAGCGTTGGTTAACAGAACTTCGTGAAATTAAGGCAAACATCCCAATAAGAACGTCTCTCCCACTTGAGATCAAAGCAGAATCTATTTCGGATTTCATGAAAATTTCCGAAATAACAATTTGTCATAAAGGT